AATGTTAAGTCAAATTAAATGTAGTTATTTGTATCAATCTGAACTCAGGCAAGTGAAATGCATTATTTATCAAGTCATAGATAGACTACAAACAAATTTTTGTACAAAAACGAGCTCTAAATACATTTAACATATAATATGTAACCCCAAACGATGCTAATAAACAAGAATGCCCGGTAGTTGTTTAGCAGTCGCATGTTGAGGCAAATCTGCGTTGAATTATTATTTAACATCATAGTAGTTTCTAATATACAAACATAGACAATTCTAACTATTATAACTATCATCATTTCATCCAAAACTGTTATATTGTTATGTAACTTATTGTGATTATCAAAAGTATTTGAATTATTGTACGAACTACGAATCCCATAAATAAATCAACCAAGTCCAAATAGAACCGAATGAGCACGATCGAACGTATTGTGCTTGGAATTCGAAATCAGGCAGTCATCAACTACAAAGGTTCATCATGTGTCTGTCCGACTGTGTATTGAATGTAGACTCTGTATGACCCAGAATATACTCATTAGTATTAGATTTAACAACTGAAATTGGAACGAACTTACCTGAGTCCTGAATCTAAATATGATCAACATGTTGGTTGTGTACTAAAATCATTGAATTTATAATTTTAATCATAGATTTTCCGTTACTATCCTCCCTCCATGAAATATTGTTGAATCTTTATGTCCCACTTTTCATTATCTCATATCTAACGCTTAGATTATCATACGTGAGTATTTTGGAATGCAAACTGACATATCATTCGAGGCACTCATCCATGTAAATTTGACTTGCATAAAAAGTATGATACATATTCCTTTTGCATTCACGCTAGAACAAACAAGAGCATTGTTCCAATTATCAGATAAATATAGTTTGGTAAGGTTTATTGAAGCCTTAGCCATATGAAAATTCAAACTTCTGTGTATTCAAAAAGAGTTTGTTCTCACCCTAAACCTACCCTGACAATATTATCTCACTATCCAGATTGATGAGGTTTCAAACTGTTTTCAAGTTACGTCTTTATTATTTTTGTCTCTTCCTACCCTCCATTTCTAGTCTAGTTGGCCTTTTATTTTTATGTAAAAATGTTCTTAACGAGTTTATGTATGATAGGATTGTGCTAATATATCCCATAGTTCTGATAATCTTCGTCTTCTTACTACACTATCGAAATCTATCAGAGGGACTAACTGCTTGAGATTATTGCTCACCTTCGTGACCTGCTTGGCAACTCCTCAATTAATCGTTACGTTTATAACATTGAGTATGCACTGTGGTGACGCAGTAATGTGTTATATTTCTCGATGTATTGACAAATCTTCTTAAGAAATTCTCTTCCTTCACCTCATTCGGAATTTGTACAATTTACATGTTCTAATAGTAATTTTATGAGTGTTGTATAGGGAAGTGAGACCGACTTTTCTGAAAACGTCAGATTTTTTCACAAGCTGTAGGCTCATTTTCCGATGAATGTAGGGAATTGAACCACAATATAAACATTCTCAACATCTTCCTTGGTCATACTCTAGGTTTCGAATCTTTCCATGTTATCCTCAAAAGCATCGAAATTTGAATGTATGTCCAATTTTTCCATCACAGGCTTCATCGCGACGCCAATGTTATGGTAAGAAGTGTTTAAAGTATTATAGAAACTAAAAATTCCCGAAATAATTCAATTTTATTCTGAAAGAACTAGATGAACACAAACGAACGTATTGTATTTAGAATTCAAAATCAAGCACACGCCAAGTACAATAGAATCATTAGTTCATAAAAAAAACCACACTTATCTGCAGAAGAAAAATCAACATTGACAGCCTTTTCTGTCCGATTTTCGAACACAGACAGCAAGCGTACCTAGCGTTACTGTGTCACAATTATTGATCGGTAATCCTTAATAAGTAAAACGATGCATTATGGTTTCGAAAATGGTAACTGAACTGTGCTATCAGTTAATGCTAATTTATTATGAGTCTGTTAAACAGTTGACGAATAGATTTCTGTAAACAGAATCTGCAACCACTGGATAAATTTAAACCAGAAATTTAGTGCATATAAATGATTAATATCTAAATTGTGCATTTCAGTGATTTCATATAGCATACAAGCCGTGAATTTCTGTTAGTGTTATGAACTCCGTAAATGGGTTTTTCTCGAATTTCACAGTATTAGTTAAAGTTTGTGACTCATTTTATTTGGTGCCTGCTATTCATTCGCAAATACTAAATGTCGAGGTAAAATCCCAGTAGGGTTGGAAAATGAGTGGCATTGCTTACAACAAGTGAAACACTTGTAGCTTGTGGTTGATCCCGGCAGAAGAACTTGTTCAAGAATTAACAATATGCAAGGTTGTCAACAATATACCAAAAAAGAGTTAACACTACAACCTCAAGTGTCTGTCTATGAGTAAAGCAAAACGTAACAAATTGCAGTTACAATATAAATGGTATATTAAACAACAAAATGATAACAGTTGTTGTTAAATGAATGTTACTTGTAAACTGCTCTCTGTGACAATGACCACAAATGAGTTCACTTGATTAACAAAAATTCCTCTGCTCGTGGTAGCACCAACGGTGTAATGATTAAGATTAAATCCAATACTATTAATTATTAATAATCCGGGCCAAAAAAATCCAACATGGTGTGGGAAGGCCTAAAAGGATGTTATAGCACTATTATAATCTTCATTCAATGGCCGTGGCCAATAAAGCAGAAGAACGGACGGCGGAGATAACTTTTATATTTTTAAGTCGCGGTAATGTATGTATATAACCAGACAATTAAATCCGTTTCTTTACCATAGAAAACAAGCTTATGCTAGAGATAGAACAATATATTTAAAGTGAATACAAGATATAAGGTAACATTCGGCAGGGACCACGCCTGCATAGCCGAGACATGCCATCCGATCAACTCCAATTATTTAGATTTTATTGTTCTCGCCTTATCCGTCGTTGGGTTTTTCTCCGCATTGAATGTTGAATATTTATTTCCGATTTTGTCTTGTGTCAGGGCCCAATGCCACTACACATTCTGTCAGCTGCTATTCCATTTATTTATTGGATTGGATACGCATAGCGAAGTTTAATCATTTGATTCATGATTGACTTGTTGTTCTACAGAATCAAATAGATGTTAGTTCTGTCTTTTTGTTCATGGTTTTCATCATGATACTTCTATTATTTACGTCTTCCGTTCCAAATCATGATATGGCCTGTAGTTCAGATTCAGTTACGTAGAAATAAAGCTATGTTTAACGAATAATCCCGGATTCGCCTGACAAGACAAGCGGTTGTAGATCACCAACGTAGATGACCTATGTCGAAATGATTGGAGGCCTCCTCGAGTTAGACGTGAGTGGTGTGACAAACTATCTAACGTCGAAGTCACACTTCGCGGTCTGCACCTTACATGGATTACCCCATTGACGTATCAAGGTACTATAGATGTTTTGAAGACTGTACAACACAGAGGACGTTATTACAGAAATATATTAGTTAAAGTAGATACACGCGAAGGTAAGACCACTGCCGCATGGGCCAGTCCATGGCGTACGATTAACTGATGCGCGTTGGTTGTCCTTGACATTAACGAGGATTGATGGTTTTGTTCCATATTCAATGACCCAACTGCTGGATGATTTGGCTACGGCTCAGTGGAATTTCACTGGCCCTACACGGTGGGGAATGTAATTAGGAATGTGCTTGGCCACCGCATTCGTCTTTGAGTGGTACGTAATTAATAAATGGGCGTGAGTTATGTAGTTTCGAGTACTAATACACACTCACATGTTTCATCCTAGCCTTCAAACAGGCCATAATAACTCAGATAACATGTGATAATTGAGTCATTTTCACCTCAATATCAACTTCATTATTATGTGAGAAAGTGTTGGATTATTTTATGCTATGATATTAGTACCACTCTAATAATAGACTTGATCCTAAGCTTATAGATGTCATGATGCAACTGCCTAATCTGTAAGATCTTACGTGGAAGTCACATTATTATCTACATCAACTCATCGAGTCGTATCAATTATCAATATATGATAAAGGACACACTGAGGCTAGAAATAGAACAATATATTTAAGTTAACACTCAATAATGGCCACGCCTGCAAGGCCGAACCATGTCATCCGATGGATTCGAACCAATTCAATTCATTGTTCCCACCTTCTTCGTCGTTGAGTTTTTCTCTGCGCAAATTTTAAATATTTATTTTCCCAGTTATCTCGTATTCAGCTTTGAGGATTGTATGGTTAGAGCGCAATGCCACCACAAAACCGCGACATTCAGCACACATACACGTCTTAGTTTTTGACACTATTGCAACATTTATGGGTCTTGTGCGTGGTTGTATATAATTTATTATCTCGTCCAATGTCTGTCTCTTTGACGCACTACAACTTGTCTATCATGAGCTACGTACCAACTGGTACTACCAGTTGGCATGTTTGACTTCTCTGCTTCGTTTCTTCTACTGTTTCCCTATGGTAACGAGTGTATGAATAATACGTATCTAAAGTTCATTCTCGTAGTTGACTCATCTTATTACGCTATTATCTAATGCGAACTACTTCGTTAATTATATACGAGGCAGTTGGCATATACATTTCGTTAACAACATCTCCCGGTAAAATCCGACTCAGATCAACTAATTGTCGTTGATATTGATGGAGCCGGTAAAATTTTCAAATCTCAGTGACAGGCTTGATAAATAGTTTTGATAGAGACGTGGCGCTTTACTTTCTTTAGACACGTTGATCTTTACCACATGATGTTTAGACCAGCGGGATTCGCACCTACTGATTATGAGGTCAAAACGAATATATCGATCAGTCCTAACATTACAGACTTATTGATAATGTTTTATGTTCACGTTTAAATACCTATAAGCACACAAAAAGTAAGAAATAAGTGAAAAGAGATCAATCAGTTTATACAAACTCGTGACCAAGATATTGGGTATTGTATTTAAGCGCTATGTTTTTAAATTGCGTTACTTGAGCCTGGCGACAGAAATACTTTATGGCTGCTCCTCCTGTGAGTTATAACCCTTGGTGGAGCTTCTTTGTTTTGTTCGTTTCTGTAGACTGTTAGCCATTCCTGTAAATTTCAGTTTACAAGGCTTGCTCAGATTGTACATAAGGCGCATCTACTGTACGCCGTACTGCGCTTGGGTCAATAATGTAGGGACTTATCATCATTGTGCTTTATCTGTCTTTCAGAATTCTGTTTATGTGGTCATCCTGAACCACCATCAATAAATTTGAAAACGTCCTAACCATGTCATTTCATTGCCAGTACAATATGACATGTCACAATGCTGTCAATGAATCTCTCTGTAGTGGCTGCTATTATAGTTAGTTAATAAAAAGTTATGTATTATTTAACCAAATAAAGTCACCGGTTGTTGGACGTAAGCACTGCGGTCTTGTAAAACGGGAATCTTTGTCTGAAAGTAGTTAATTTAGGGAAAAAAAGTCGGACATTCCAGAATTATATATGTACGACAATATTGGTAACATTTTTTTCTCATTAACTTTGACATCCACTCGTTACATGCAAAAATGATTTTGCTTTCTGTCCGTCATTGCGAAGAACTCAAAATATGATGCCTCGTCAATTCTTCATTAACAGTCGCTTACCTAACCTGACTGAATAGTAAATTGTAATTTGTAATTGTAGAAAACTGAAATAGGTTTTCATTGTCTTTATATGCGTTTCTACAAACTACCGCTCGGATCCTGTTAAGTGGGTAATCCTATAATCAACCGACGCAAAATGAGCTTACAATATCATAGTGCCATATAAAAATGTAGATTCCCAAGTTAGGTATCTCTGTCCCAGAATCAATACTTGGCTATATTAAACCACGAAGCAGTGGTACTTTTGGCCTTTGAATGATTATTAGTAAGATAAATTATGAAAGCATATAGATTACATCTGTTGTGACGACTGTTATCACTACTTAATTGTCCGAATTGTGATAGACTGAGCTTATTTCATTGAATTCACAGCTACATTTACGTCTATTGTACTTTTGAACAATTTTACAGCAACTTGATGCTGAATGTGTTGACATTCGCAAGATGTTAACCAACAGCTTCAAGTAATGTTATAAGATATTGAACACTTATTTTCCTATGCTTTCCATCATCCTCAAAAACGTTTGCACACCATGGAATTTCACATATAATTTGACGAACAGTTGTTTAAAGATAATAGTAATTGAATATCCTTAGCTGGAGTATATCGGAAAAGCTGCTTTTACTGATAAACACTAGTTTCTCTCACAATGTGCCATCGGTCACTTTTTCAGAGAGCATCATTTTGTTAGTGTTGTTGCATTTGGAGTAACTTTCTCGGTTATCCTTACTGTGGGAAAGAACCTCAAGGAAAATACTTTATTTAGGATTCTTAAAAATTATTCATTCGTGTGCTGTGTAAAAAGTTATGCGTTACTTATAGCCAAAGCTTTATAATTAATAATGTGGTTTGCGATTTTAGTCAGGTGCTTGACTGTATCATCACCCTTCTGAACTATCTAGTTTATTATACTTATCATAAGAACTGTTAGATAAACAAGTCAGGTAAACCCTCAAGTAACCCCGCAAAATGTCACGCTAAGTTATGTAAAATTATTGATATTTCTTTTCTGGGGATTCAGCATGCTGTCAATGTACTGAATTTAGTTTCTCATGATTTGCTTCCATTGTTAATTTTAGATAACTTGCTTAGATAAATTGACAGTTTAGTTTGATAGAATGGAGGGTATTTTGTTAAAATGGACAAATTATGTTAGCGGTTGGCAACAACGATATTTCATTTTGGACGATGGAGTTCTGTCGTACTATCGATCCAAAGAAGAAATGAATAGTGGATGTAAAGGATCGGTCAAATTATCTGTATGTGATGTTATAGGTGAGTTCCATGTAAATACTGTTAGTTTATCGAGTACAAATGATACAGTTCATAGTTCTGATCCACGAAGATTTGATTTGATCCTTGATGAGCAAAGATATTATTTGCGTGCTTTATCGCGGGCAGATCGACAAAGATGGGTTATTGCACTTGGTAGTTCAAAAGTAGGCACTGCACAATTAAAGTCAGAAGGCGTAAATATATATGGTAAGTTTAAATATATATTTGATTTCTTCTCACTAACTTCAAACTTTGTATGTACACTTATATTTTCATTTTCAGATTTTTTATTTTAATCATAACACATGATCGGTAGTCAATTATTCTGCTTCGTCCCTGTATTTCTTGTAGTAGCTTTTGATAATACTCACTTTTTCAAATCAAATAAGATGAAATGGTGGGATTTAAATTTAGGACTGAACTTTTTGAAGTTGAATGTTTTAACCAGTAAGCTATGGATCTTTAAATTTGTGAGAATTACTTTTAATTCCTCCTACGTAATACATGTCACATGGCGTGGCAATGGAACATATACTCTAATTCAGTAGTTTATCTATAATGTGAATAATGAGGTGCTGAAATATTTTTACAACCTAAGTTAGTTGGGGCATAAATAAATTGTTTTTTAGGCATCCGACTTTCAGCCGTTCACATAATTGTTTTCAACATATCTACATTTTTCAGTATGGAGTTGTGGAGATTGTTGAGTTTCACTGAAATCATGAATCGATCTACATTTAATAATATCTTAATAACCAGATAGTTTTATTACTCACTATATGATAAACGTGGCTTAATCAGCTCGTAAGACACGGTTTCTCTTATTAAATTTAATCAGTGGAATAATGAATCAGATTGAAATTAAGCCTGCTGACTGAAGAATTATTTAATATGAAAAATTGCTTATTCATTCTTAGAACCTTCACAAACCCAATTAATCGATAATCATCGTTCTGAATTGCGTCTTTATCATAATTTAATGGTACAACAAGTCAAAGAGATTCAAAGCGAACTAAAAGAAGGTACGGTCCCAGATATGAATGTAAGTTTTTGGTCTTCTAATTTCTGTATGAAGTGATCATGGATAGTGTTGATTTAAGTTTTTATCATTGGTTTTTGTTCTACTAATTTCTAAAAAACTGTAGTCACTTCTCAGTATTGAGTTCAATCTAAGTATTTCCATGCATCAGTAAGTGTATCAGTCACAGTAGTGTACTGGATTTTCACAAACACGTGTGATACAATATTTGATAAACATCTTGTAAATGAATCTAATAAAGGCAGAAATCGCAGTTTCTTAAGTGAATTTGAGCGATGTATATTGGTGGGTCCAGTTGACTGTCAGTCACTGGGATCGTGACATCTTTCTCACTAGTTAATTCCAACACCGGTGACCTTGAGTATATTCCCTAATTATTGCAATCATATATATGTGCAGCGTATTAAGCGACCTTTTGTTGTCTTATCTATTCTGTTGGCCGGGTTTATTAGTTTGGTTATTAACATATTTGGATCATTTACAGGTGAAAATTTGTTATCGGGTAATTTGTATCAAAATACATAGTAAGTTAATCGGCTTATTGTGTTTTATGGGTTTTCAGAACAAAGAAGTTGACGGAGATAATCGATCATTAGTTTCACTGAATATGATTTCTTGTCAGTTTCCATACTTCTTAAAACAGAAGTAATGTTTCTTTTCTCTAGTCAGAGTATCCTTCCTTCTATCAAATTTTCTCTCTCATCCTTAAACAATAAATAAGCTTGTTGTAATATAAATAAACACCTGTTAGATAACTGTAAGATATCTTGTATGAATCCCCTTTTTTAAATAGATGGTAGTGGTTAATACTCGGATCCAGGACGCTCGTTTCATCCTACACGGGAATCGTCGGCTGGATGTATCTTCATCTCAGTGTTGATGTTCATATCAGTGCTCGAACCCAGTACCTCTCTCTTTGGACGCTGATGCATTATCCACTGAGCTGTCTAACTCAATACAGTTGAAAGTTAGACAACAATAGCCTTGAGGTGTTACTGCGTTAGAATTCCTGAAATTATTCCTTTTGGGCCACAGTTAGCGGAGATAGCACTATTCCGTTTCTATTTATTCATTTATTACACTTATTTCCTTGGTTCAAAGGAATACCAAAATATATATAAACCACACGTCATGGAACTTGTATGTGGGTTGGAATACTGCCTGAGTGCCCAAACAGAAGTGGGTTGTTTTTAAAGAGACGCACTCCTCGAGCCTTCAACCCAAAGGCGAAGCAGACTGTTTCAGTCCTTGACTATTTCTTCGTGTTTTTGATTCTTTATATACTTCCGTTTTATTGTAACATTTCACACATTTTTTAGTCTCCATTTTCTTAATGTTCTATTCGAATCAATGTATTGATTTTTTTAATACTCCATGTTGAAAAACATTTTTATGGTGCTTCTGTTCAGTGATTTTAACAATGACTATAATCTATTCCAACACTAGTTTACAAGACGTTACTGTCTTCTCTGTTCTTAAGGTAATTAGATAATTACTACTAATATTCAATAAATGACTGTTTATTGTTCAATAAACGCTGTATTAACAAGTTACATATCAGTCAGTTAGTCATAGAGAGGATAAAATCGACTACTAATTAGTTTGTTTTGTATCACATGCATCTTACTATACCATTTCGATATTGCAGAAAAGTAAGACCATCAAATAAGCTCGAATAGTATTGATTACTTTATCCCATGGTTTTCCCTTTGATTTCCTACAACCACAGTCAGTGGTTAGAAATATTGATGAGTGACATAATTTAGAATTCATTATAATGAAGATGCATTCAGATTCTAACTTGCTTTAAATCTTTGGTCTCAAATCTATTTTATATTTTCTATTCTTTGTGTTTAATCATTTTCACTATTATTAATAATTTTACAATTCACGTATTGATCCTAACAATTTCATTTCACTGTACATTGATATTTAGTCTGGAAACTTGAACCGATGTACACATATTTACCAGCTTCTACATTCATTCTGATTAACTCCCTGCTACCTTAAAGTGTTTATTTCAATTACATGGAAAAACAGATGCTCACAATACTATCACATCTAATGGAAAAGAAGATAGGTGATGACACTTATATATGCTAACTAAATGGTTATATATATATATATATATATATATTCGCATCAGTAAAAACTTCACAAGGTCAATGGAAGATGTGAGAACCAGAAGAGGAGCTAACATAACTTCAGATCACCTGGTGGTTGTCAAGATGAAACTGAAGCTAAAGAAGCACTGGACAGCTGGGGAAACAGCATCACAAAGGTTCAATGTAGCTTTCCTTCGACATACTAATAAGTTTAACGAATTCAAGATAACTTTCAATAACAGGTTCCAAGCCTTAGAGATTCTACTGAAAAAAGAATCTACATTGGAGGACAACTGGAAAGAGATCAAAGAAGCACTAAATTCAACGTGTTAGAAGGTGCTGTGCCGCAAGAAGCATCATTATAAGGAATGGATCTCTATGGAAAACCTATAAAAGATTCAAGAAAGGAAAAACAAAAAGACAGCAATTAACAATAGCCGAACAAGAGCAGAGAAAGTCAAGGTACAAGTTGAATATACAGAATTAAACAAGCAAGTAAAGAGTAGCATTAGATCTGACTAGCAGAAATAAGTGGAAGAGCTAGCAACGACAATGGAAAAGCTTCAAGAGAAGAAAATATGAGATAGCTATATGACACAACGAAGAAACTAGCAGGGAAATATAGTAAACCAGAGAGACGGGTCAAGGACAAAGAAGATAAGCTAATCACTGAAATTCAAGGACATAGTAACAGATGTGTAGAATACTTTGAGGAACTCTTGAACGGACAAGCTTACATTTAACCAAACGATTTGTACTTCGCATATAACCTAGTCCTTTTATCCAACACGAGCAAATGCAGGTCAAGACAACCAAGGTAGCAACTGTCTCTGCATCAGTACATCTCAACATACACAAGGGAAAAAACAGGATTCTTAAATACAACATGTAGAAACTCTGGAAGAGGTATGGATCAACTGTAACTATTTTATAAACTGGTCAATGGCTCAGAGGTTAAGGCAATCAATTTTTAGCCAATAGATTACAGCTTCGAACCCTAATTCACTTACTTGTGTTTAGACAATCGGATAGTAGTATCATTAGCTCTCTCGTGTAGAGTGTAAAGTTGGAAGTCAAGTACATAAATCTGTACCTGTTAAGTGTGTCAATTAATAAAGAATATATCGAGTCATCTAAGCCTTTAATTATCACGAAAAAATGAATAATAAAACAGGTTTTGTCATTATGTTGCGCCTAATATTCTCTGGATCTGACGCTGTGTTATTTTAAGTAACACTCTTAGCTGTATTGCTGGATAATTGTTTTGATTCTTTTTGTTTGCTTATCACCTATTCATTTTTATACAATTTCTATCAGTAACTGTTTCATTCATGATTAGATCAACTACATAGTTCACGACTTCTCACTAGAACTAGTTCAGAATAACTCAGATCGTAGTTATATAATAGTGAGTGTATAATCACTGGAAAACGTAAATGTAAAACTGAAAGTGTAAACCGGTCAATTACAACTCACTAATTTAACGGTTACATATACTCTGTGATGATACATTAATATTTTAAGTTCTTTTATATGTAGAATTGTGACTGTGCACTATGAAAAGGTATCAAACTCAAATACGCACTGCTGAGGAGTCCCACAATAGGACGAAATAGCCATTCAGTACTTCCAAGTTTTCTATGATAGTCTAGCTTCAATTGACTCATGATCTCAACTATTGAAATTACTATAATATCCATAAAACCCCTCTGATATAAAATAAAACAATTCATTCAATGGTTATTATATTTTAAAAACTGTCAAATAACTCAATGATTATAAAAAAAGACTATGAAATCGAATCCATCATGATCTATGTTATGTTATAATTAACACATTATAGACTAATATTTAAGTAGTATAATGATAGTAAACATTCTCTAATATGAATTTACTAATTAGTTAATGTCAATATATTTTAACTGGAATTTGGACAAGTAAATTTTATATTTGGTATGTTTTGTTATCATTAAAAAAGCAAATAGTAAACTTATTATTCAATGATAAATGAATTTATCTTAAATAGTGATTATCTTATATAGTCTAAGTGGCAAACTAATCTTATTTAGTGATTCATTGGAAATTAGGAAGGATTAGACAGGTTTTTCATTATAACATTTGATATATCCACATTTCTGCCAGGAACTATACTCTGAACGTTTATGTTATAAGTTGAGCTTTTAACCTGAAGCAAATAGAGTTGAGACTACAGTGCAAAGTAGTGCATGGAGGACAGCTGACAGATGCATTCCAAATGAGGATCGGAGTCATACAAGGCTGTTTACTCCCTCTTTTCCTATTTCTTCTGGTAGTCGACTGGATTATGAAGACCTCAACATCTGAGGGAAAACACGGCATACAATGAACAGCTCATGACCAGTTAGACGATTTAGACTTCGCAGACGAACTAGCCCTCCTATCGCATACACACGAACAAATGCGGATAAAGACAACCAGTGTAGCAGCACTCTCTGCATCAGTAGGCCTCAACATACACACAAGGGGAAAACCAAGGTCCTCAAATACAACACAGAGAATTCCAACATAATCACACTTGATGGAGAAACTCTGGAAGATATGGAACCCTTCACGTACCTGTGAAACATCATCAATAATCAAGGAGGATCGGATGCAGATGTAAAAGCGAGGATTGGCAAATGAAGGACAGCATTCCTACAGTTGAACAACATATGGAACTCAAAACAACTGTCTGTCAACCAATATCACAGTCAGAATCTTCAATACGAACGTCAAGACAGTTCTACTGTACGGAGCTGAAAGTTAGAGAAATACTACAACCATCATCAAGAAGGTACAAGTATTTATAAATAATTGTCTACACAAGATACTCGACATCCATTGGCCGGATACCATCAGCAACAGTCTTTTGTGAGAGAGAACCAACCAGCTTCCAGTTGAAGAGGAAATTAGGAAAAGACGATGAAAATGGATAGGATACACATTATGGAAACCACCAAACTGCATCACGAGACAAGCAATAACTCGGCATCCTGAAGGGAAGCGGAAAAGTGGAAGGCCAAAGAACACATTACGTCGGGAAATAGAAGCGGATGTGAAAGGAATGAATAAGAACTGGAAAGAGCTGGAAAGGATTGCCCAGGACAGGGTTGGATGGAGAATGCTGGTAAGCGGCTCATGCTCCTTCGCGAGGAGTAACAGGCTTACCTGACCTGACGTGACCTGAAATAGATTGAGTTCGAGTTTAAGAACGAATGTTTCTTCATAGCCTAATGTTCTAATTAATGAACTATCATTGTTTATATGAAGTATTTATGGAAATGTCTTACCATGTAGTAAAATTATATTACTCTAATTATTTTCTCAGAAAAATATATAGTTACTTCTCTCTAACTGTTATGATATCAGTGTCTTGGTTAATCCTCATTCATCCGTATTTAAATTGTATTGAAGAGGATCAAATGTGTCTAACTGACCGATTTATACAACATGTTTTCTGAATGTCGGTCACAGAATTTTTCTGCTATGATCTTATCTGAGTTATGTTCTTTGAATTCCTAATTCATTTACAATTCTTGGATCTATACATTTGTTTAAATTCTTCAATTAAACAAACATACTATAATTCCACCAATTCTTTATTGATTTGAACTTGTCAAACAGAAATTAGTCGGTTACAGGCAAAAAAAGTCAATACGGAAGAAAACTAGGAATTGAAATAGCTTTAGAAAACTAAAGATTAAAATACGGTAGAAGAACAGATTGAATACACAATTCTAACTTCTCCAAATATACAACAAAGGGTTCCGCTGTACTAAAGAGACGAGACCTCAGTTTATCAAAGATCAAGTTTATTTCAATTCATCTTGTCGATGAATTTGAACCGTGGATGCGTTTTAACGTGATGACATGTGTTTACCAGGTGTTCGGTTACGAAGCTACTTATGGATTTATTGTTATCACTTTTCAATCACATCGGATAATTATCTTCAATTCTCTTGGATAAAACACCCACCAAACGACTTATATACCCATCTCCACAGGAGCCGATGAATTGATAACCACATATAGAAATGATCTGATCCAAGAGCTTATAGTTCAGATTATTTATGAACATAAATAAGTTGGCTGGGGGACAGCACTATTGTCTATTCAATATTTCATCATATGTTCTAATCTTTGTCCTATGTACAAACCAGGTATTTAAACCATATGTTCACCAACAGTTTTGTTATTATAGAAATCAATTTCTAATATTTCATTTCCCACTTTCGTTTTGCTTTAATTAGCGTATTGATGAATTAACTAGTATGTTAAACGCATCTTGCTCCACATTCTTAATAACTTTGGATGAATTAATGATTTTAAGTAATGCACAAGCTCCATGGTTAAGTTCCATATTAACAGGAACAACATTGGAGACAAGTCCTACTATGTTTCGAAATAAATCATCTCTTACCAATACAGATTCTTGTAATATACATTCACCAAATATGAGGCAAGTTTAAATTATTATATCGTTGACTCCATGTATCTTTTGATCTCATGTTTAAAAGGATTGGGTTGAGCTGAATTATAAGGTCGAGCCAAGATATTTCGAGGCCATGACGTACTATATTAAAGTAGAATGTTATTTGCTGAATTGTGATAATAAACACTTGAGTTTAGATTCAAGATTAAGATTTAGTATTTAGAGCTTAGGATGTAGGATTGGGGTTTGAGTTATGGTTAGGTTGTAGAGCTTAGAGTTGATGCTTACACTTAAGATTTAGGATAATATATATATATATATATATATATATATATATATAAGCTGTGACTGGTAAGATTCAATTGGATTTGAAATGAAACAACTGGTACGTTTTGTATTGGAGTGTTAAGTCACGAACTTTCTAATCACTTTCTACTTCCTCAAATTGTCCAACTTTCAAGCTCATAGTTGGAAATAGAAAAATGTGAACTATGAAGAAAAATTTATTCCAAAGATTAATTAGTGTATAGAAAAAGCTGGTGTGTTTATAGGTTTACACATATAATTTTGAGATTGAAGAACTAGTTAAAACAAAATTTGTTGAATAATGAATGAAAAGCTCACTTCTATATGAAGTAAACGATGATGATGTTCTCCAGAGAATATCATTGAAAATTGTACAATTGAATAATCTATTTAGTTCCCATAATATGATACTTACTTACGTCTGTAACTTATCGTTGAGGAGAATAGGAAGTCCATCAGCATTCTCCATCCAATTCTGTCCTGGGAAATCCTTCCTACTTTTTGTTACCCTTCACGATTCCAAGTTAGCTCTTGCTTGGTGATGTACTTTGATGATTTCCAGTGACTTTTCCTAATTTCCTCTTCAACTGGAAACGTGTTTGTTCTTTCCCACAGTAGACTGTTGCTGATGATATCCGGTCAACGGGCATTGAATATCTTACGTTGATGATGGTTGTAGTAGTTCTCCACGTTTCATTTCCGTGCAGTAGAACTGCCTTGACGTTCGTATTGAAGATTGTGACTTTGATGCTAGTTGATAGACAATTATTTTGAGTTCCATATGTTCTTCAACTTCAGGAATGTTGTCCTTGATTTGCTAATCCTCACATTTACGTCTGCATCAGATCCTTCACGTTTATCGATGATGTCCAGATACGTGGAACTTTCTACATTTTCCAGAGTTTTTCCATCAAGTGGGATTGTGTTGGTGTTTTCTGTGTTGTATTTGAGGATGTTGTTTTTTCCCTTATGTATGTTGAGATCTACTGATGTAAAGACTGTTGCTACACTAGTTGTCTTCATCTGCATTTGTTTATGTGTGTGGAATAGATGGAATAGGTTATCTGCGAAGTCCAAATCGTCTAGTTGACTGCAAGCTGTCTATTGCATTCCGTGCCTCGTCTCAGATGTCAAGGTCTTCATAATCCAGTCGACCATTAGAAGAAAGAGAAAGGTGAAGAATAAGCATTCTTATCTGACCAACCAAACATTTATTACAGGTATCGGTATTATCAGTAGTAATATGATTATTTATAATGGTAATAGTATTTATTATTATTAGTTAAGTATTATATTTAATAACCAATCCATTATTGACTTCTACATTGCATTTTTAGTAATAATCTTTGTTCTTCATTGACGAACGATCCTATCTTTCGAAATTCACATGCACAATCATCATTAAATCGTCGTCACTTCAATGCTACACGAAAATATCAAACATTTTTCTCTACTTTAGAATATAGGTAAGTCGATATTTCACCATTAAAACCTATCTGTTATTGATAATTCTAATTTAATTTACGTACAATTGATAGATCACAGAGTAGTGACCAAAGTCATGTATGTCAAGTCTTTCTTAGTGCTGGCTTAATTCTATTGATTAAGTTGCTGTTTCGCCACTAGTCCAAGTGACTCGACATGTCTAGCATTATTTTGAAATGCTTAATACTCGAAGCTAGTTAATAAGAAACCTCGGATTTAAGTTTTGCGCCATTTGGCATTCATCTACAAGCTGTAATTGTGATCTTAAAGGAACTGATGCCTTCTGAAGGATTCAATCCTGTGTTACACAGCTCAGCTCCACCGTGGCAACGTCTCTGACTATGAATCTGGATGACACAGGATGAGATCCCTTAGGGAGAAACAGTCCCCTAAAGATTACAGTCGCACGTCTGTGACGAGTACCAAATAGGACGAAACTCAAGTTAGGCAGGGCTTCACTCTACAATTGAGCTTATTTACAATAAAGTTTGTCATGATTAGTATTAACATCAGGTCATTAAAATTGGAGTATTGTAAAATGGGTTGTTGATGAAACCGAAGACCTCTAGGTATCACGGCAAGTACTTAACCTTTAGACCGTTAGCCTGGCATCTAATGGTTTACACACCCAAGTTCCATCAATTCATGATATTGCGCAATCATCTGAGCAGGATAAAACAGCTGCCCAGTGCTTTTTAATTTCGGAGGTGCTGTGTTTTTTTTTAAACGAGGTGGATTAGTTGTGAAGCTTTCATTGTCCTTTTGGGCAACATCATCAGCGCGTCCTTCAAAAAAGAGATTTCAGAATCTCTCCAAAATTGACTAGCAGATTGTTCTATCGACATAGAATTTGGTTAGTTGTTGTCCATAGATGAGTGGTCGCTATTTGTTTTGATTGCTTTCCCGCGTAACTTGATTTTTGACCTCCCGGTTTTGGATCCTTTTTCATATCTACTGATCGATTTTGATACGTCTTTTGATTGATTAATGATTGAATGAAGTGTCAGGCTTCTGGGAATTCTCTGGCTTTCTTTACCTTACCACTGTCTCCTATGTCATTGTTTTTCAGTCGAACTCATATCCATAGTTGTCCATATGTAACCGAAGCTTTATTGTGATGTTTAACATCTTACTTATGCTCATCTAGGTTTAGACAGAGCGGGTGGTCACTTCACAATATGAAGTATTTGTCCCGATCACTGTAATGATGGTACTCATCCTGTCTTTATTTGTCGTTTTGTCTATTGGTTTGCACATTATCAATCGAAACGATTTTGTAGGCTTCACTTATTCATAGTGGTCTTAATCATCTGTTTGTCATCTATAAGATATTCCTTGTGTAGAGTGAAACTATCCATTTTCTGATTGTTTGTAATTGATTTTTTATTTTTCTTAATTGTTTGTTCAATAAACAATTCATGATGAAGTTTTGTAGGTAATCATCTTCTTCTAAATACATCCACTAGGTATTTTCTTTTCATTTCTCCATGTAATGGCAGTATCGCAGTGTGTTTTCATTGTTTTGAATGAGGTTTGTATACAGTTTGTTTTATAAGTCATTGCGTTGTTACATTTTAGTTTTGCATTTAGTCGATATGCGTTAGCTTCTTATGTACTTGAGTTTCAAGTTTCATTGTTTTGCTTCTGGTGATTCATATGTCCAAAAGTGGCAGTTTGTTGTTTAAATCTATTCATGATGTGAATTTTATATCATTGAATACGTTGTTGGTCAAATTGTCGGTACTTTCCCGCGGACTCTTTTTGATAGTGACAAATGTGTCATTTAAATGGTGAACTCAATTTCATTGAAATCAATGTCGGACCAGCATTAAAAATGTGGAAGCACTGTATGACCGTTTCCCCCCATTATGGGACTCCTCAGCAGTATGCATCTACTACCCTACATGCAGTGACTGAACCCAGGATCTTCGGTCTCTTGCACGAACACTTGACCTCCAAACCGCTGAGCCAAAATCCTGCGGTGTTTTTGTCTAACTCCAATAAATTCACGGCGTTGTGCGACCATCTTCCAATACCTCCGAGCAGTCCAAGACGCTGCGTTCAGGTCGCAGTCCACTCTGTTGGCGTGGGTTCTGATCCCACTCCTGAAACTACACTTATCGCCCCCAAATGCCCTGGTACGGCCGAGGTTGGAGAGATTCAGCTTTCCTTCTCGATATGCTATCATATGACCATGCGTATACAGCCACTGCCAGGGAAGTCCTACTCACTGCCTTCTCGCGGCGGGGGTGTTTACGATATTGAGAGGACGAACAGCGAATGTCCGTCAGAGGCTTTAACCGGGTTGGTGGACATGGAGTGTCCACCTAGGGGAGTTGGAAAACCGTCATTCCAAACCAATGATGCACATGGGCTCCAGGATCCTGAGGGAACGAATGGTGTATGAACCAATTATTGGTTACCGGCTACTCTAAGACTGCATTTCCTGACGTTACTCCATTGCCTCTTCGATTAGGTTTTTAGGTCGAAAGCTCTGGGTGTGGGGCCCCCTAAGAAAACCACGTGCTTCGATCTGGGCATCCGGGAAGTATCATAGCCCACATTCAAACCAATTGACTTGTGTTGCGCATATTTATTCGGTGCCCCTTTGTACCAATGTTTATGTGTTCAAATAAATAAATAAATAAACATTATCTACAACCCCTCCCCCACTGTGTAATAATAATTAATTGTATTTTTCAATACGTCATGATATATATCTATATATCTTTATGTTATTTTCTTGTATTATATTGACAGTTTTGAAGAGATTAAACCATCTATACCTATTCAACCAATTCCAGATAATGATAATATAAAACTTCCTGGTGATTATTTATCAGCATTAGAATTTGTTAAAGCATCTAAATGTTTATTGCATTTTCTTGATCGATTAAATAATACTAATATGAATCAAATGAATTGTACATTAAATAATCATTTATCAACTTCACGTACTTATATTGCATTACAACAAGTTCGTCAACGTTTATTAGATTATTTAAATTGTATTGAATTTCATGTTGAAATGCATACTTCTACAACCAATATTATTAATGATAATCATGATAATGATGATGATGATCATCATCATCATACTACTACTACTACTAATAAGACTACTGTTATCGGTGGAACAGATGAAATTTTATCCATTGATAGTAAAGAGAATCATAATGATACAAATGTAAAAAATCATTGTAATATTTTATTTAAAAAAGCTCAACTCAGTTTAGGTTATCTTTTACGATATGAAATAAAACATAAAGAATCAATTCATGAAAATAATAATAATTCAGTTTATATGGCTATTCTATGGTTATGTAGGTAAGTGTATTTGCATTCGTTTTTTGCTTATTTATTTAAAAAAAAAATAGGATAGTTTGGCTAGTAGTAAAATCTAGGTGGGGTATTTCATCCTTAGTTGGATATATTTTCATCTCCGAGTGAGTTGATGTTCACTCTGGCACTCTTCTCCTGTCAGGGAAGTCCTATTCACTACCTTCTCGTGACGGGGGTGTTGTCTACAAAAATGAGAGGACGAAAAGCGAATGTTCGGCAGGGGTTTTAGCCGGATCCCAAATCAATGGTGCACATGGGCTGGCTCCAGTATCCTGAAGGAACAAATGGCGTATGGACCAATCGTTGGTCACCGGCTACCATGAAACTGCATCTCCTTACGATGCTCCACTGCCTTGTGGGTCAGACGTACAGGTCGAAGGCTCGGAGTGTGGCCCCCTAAGAAAACCACCTGCTTCGGTTTGGGCACCCGTGCAGTATCATAGCCCTCACACATACCAAATGAGGTCTGTGTGTCGCATATGTATTTGGTGCCTGCCTGGACCAATACCTGTGTTAAAATAATAATAATAATAATTTGTGTATGTTGCGGACGTTAGATTCCCAGAACTCACTTGGGAAAGGACCTAATTTTGTAGTTTTATTTAGGAAATTTGAATTTCTTTGTTTTCGCACCAAAGGCACTCTTGTCGCCTTCATGTCGTATCTCCCACTTGAGAAATATCTTAGATGCTATTGGTCCGTTGCGTCTTTTAGTATGCTATTTGGTAACTCCCCAAGGACGGTTTTGTGCTGTAAAAATACGTTTTGATTTGTGTTTGCTGTTATCGCTCGTTTCTGGCTTCTTGCAGAATATACTTCCCTATTCCAAGCTTGGACTTCTTCCTCTAGTTAGAGGGGCTGGGACTCATCAGAGTATCTAACTTATTAATCTTTGGTCACTGAGTATTTGTTCTCGTTCGCAGATTAAGCGAACTCGTGATAGCTTCAAACCTAGCAGTGTATGAGTTAACTATCACGTCAACTATATGGCCAGTTTCAAACAGTTATCTTTTGGGCACTGGGGTTACATTCTCCACTGTAATTCTTCTCTGTAATCTAGTGTTTTTTTAGAGGCACTTCAAGGAGAAGTATTCTTTCATGGTGCGACAAACCTAGGAATGATAACCGCCTTCATACCTTTAATGACACTCAAAATCACCATGTTTAAAATCACACTCTGTCTTAGTTACTTAATGAATATACTCGTGTTGATGTAATTCAGCAACCAAGTATAGGTGTGTGTGTGTGTGTTTCTTTGTAAGTAGATATAGTTGTGTAGTTCGGACCTGATAATGACTAACAGAGAGTTCAATCCCTCAATAACTGATCCACTCTTGATTTATGGTAACCAGTAGTGTAATATTTTGTCTGAAATATACTTTACTTTTCTGTGAGTACTATCTCACTACATTGATGAATTACTAAATAAATTAATAACCTGTGTACGTTTGTTTGCTCCTTAGTGTTAATTAAATTCTATCGATCAAATTGCGGTATGATCAATCACGATCATAGCTGCTACCTTGAAGTGGTGGTCTGGCTTGCCTGTCATAACTACTCAAACGAGCTATATAGGCCGAAACACATGTTCTTCCAAGTCCTACCACGTTAGGCAGGTCGATTGGATAACGATAAGACTAGAAGCAGCAACTTAAGATCCGAAGGTAACTTGAACCGATATATACGTACTTACGTACCAGGTTATACTGACTGAATGTGATCAGTTGCTATGAGTTATCACTTAATAATCAATCTGCTTGAAAATCTCAGTCCTACAAAAGGTTGGTTGCTACTCGAAATAGAAAATATACATTTTTGATAAGTTTCAATTACCACAAAACTTAATCCATTATAATTTCTTGCCAACGAACTCCAATCACATAACGTTCTGTCTAATTACTTACTTCTACATTCTATAATCGAATCCTTTTAATTGATGTGTTAAGAGCTTTTGATAGGTCATGTTTTATACATAAAGAATTTGTTTTTTATCATGTGTGCTATCTAGTGGTCTTGAGTGCTGTTAGAGGTATGAGGGCGGTTATCACTTCCCGGTTGCCCACACAGTGGAAGGGTTCTTCTGGAGGTACCTGAAAAGGAAATTGGATTAGAGTTGGTCATAGTGACCTGAGAGCGTGACCGCAGTGCCCAAGGGACAGCTGCTTGAGGTCGGTCACACACGACCTTTTTATGAGTGATTTTTGTGTTAGCTCCGTAGTTGTTGAGTCCTTACCGCCGGAGACGGATATCCGTGGGATAAGGTGAGGTGTGCATTTTTAGGGTCGACGTTTTCTAACCCCACCCCTCCTTGTGGGAAATCAGCATCGCTGTTACGCTGGTTGTCTGAAGGAAACACCTTATTGTTGTCACACCTCTGTACAGTTAGCAATACGACTTTGCTTTCGGACCTGGGGTTTATTGTTTTTAGTCTTACCGCTCTTCAACCGACCTGTCTGGCATGGTAGGACCTTGAGGAACGGTTGTTCCAGCCAGTATAGCTCAGTTGCTTCATCACGATAGGCAAGCCCGACCACCACGTCAAGGTAGCAACAACGGTATGGCAACTTGGACCGATGCATATACGTGCCTGGTCCTACGTTGCAGCTGACTGACTGACTGATGTGTGCTATCTGAAAATGTTTTATTACATCCATTTAACCTGTAATGTATGAATAGTAAATGAATAAGTGAAGCCAATGACAGTAATAATAATAACTTACTTCACGGAGATGAGTTCTTTTTTCAATCATTTTCACGATATAGAAATTGTTATACTCTTTCTACTTAACTTGTTACATAAAGAATAAATCTTGGCAAGCATTAACAGTTGACTTAAAAGGAAATAAATAAACTAATACCAATGATAAATAAATTGATTATTGTTATGTTATGGTTATCTATTCCTTAGTAAAGATCAAATTCTGTCGATCAAGTTATATACAATTTAACTGTTAGTTTAATTGACTTAAGTCAATACAGATGCTGACGTTAGGCTTAATCTACTAGCTAAAAATGACAATTCAGTTGAATAAGTAATGAATCTTTATCAACTAAGATAGTTGGGACGTGTGTTACTTTTACCCATCGTCCGTTTGCCTCGATGCTCATTGTTCGCTGGTTTAGGAGTAGGCCGGAATAAAGCTAAACGGGGAACCAAACCCAGATATAATATCAGTCTGAGAAATCGCTGACAGTTCGACTGAAGTACGAACCTCCTAGTTGAAGTCGTTGAGTTGTATGCCTCGTAATCGTCTACCGTGATGCAAATAGATTTACTAACTGTTTTCCTCTTGACCTTGAGTTTTAAATTTGGCTCATAGTTTTTTTTATTCCATAAGTGGTTTTTTTCTTCCTCTTGAATCATATTATCTATGTTAATTCTTTCCTACCTCCACTGATATTATGATCACTTTTACTACTGTGATATTTGCCTTGAATTAATATTATTCTACCAAGAGAATCAGTCTGAAATTAGTTCTTATTACTACTATAAAGCACTTAAAGATAAGAAATAGTGAGTAGTATAATCTGTAGATCAATGAATCAGCGTTAACAAATACACTCAACTAGGGAGGGCATCATTTACCTAACTACTTCCTGGACTTCAACCAATATTACTCGTTCCTTTTTTGTTTAATATGTAAAACATATGAACAATGTCTTCGAAACATTGCTCGTATATCCTGGGACCAACAAGTAAGTAACTCAGTTGTTAGGAAACGGGTACTAGGTAAGGATGGCAAATCAATTGATAAAGTAGTGAAACTTAATCAGTTGAGATGGCTGGGACATGTGTTACGTATGCCCGACCACCGACTACCCCGACGTGCGATGTTTTATGGTGTAGGAGTAAGTTGGAAGAAAGCTAGGGATGGCCAGACCAAAACATGGCACAAATCCATGAAGTCACTATCATTTGGACTGAGCCATGTTGGTAGATCTAGACTACCTGGTTGGGGTCCGCGAGACGATAGCAACCGATGGTTAGAGATCTTGAATGTCATGGCTCAAAATGGTTTGCAATGGCTCAGGTGCATCCACTCTCTGTGTTCTCTCAAACTCTAATCTTGTGTAATCTTCATGTCCTTTATTTTCTTTCCAAATCTATTCCACTGGATTATACTCCTTAAATAAGATCATCAAACCTTAATGTTCCCTATCACTACTTATACTTTCAGTACCTCTACCACTATGGGATTTGAATCGATAACTGAATCTTTGTGCTAATGTGGTATGGCAGCTTGAACTGATGTACGTACGTACGAAGTTCTACGTTGTTACTGACTGACTGACTGACTGAAAACATATGAACCAAATGTGTGTTTTACCCAATTTGTGATCTTCATTTATTAACAAACAATGAATGATTAAATTATTGATTTTCATCGTCACATAATATTCATCTACTCGATAGATTTTCACTTATCAACGTTAAAATGAATGTATAAGCGAACAATGATTAGAGTTTCCATATAGATTTGTCAAAGTATAAAATATGTGAAAGATTGATTATACAAGGTTAACTATGCCTTGTGAAATTTTATCAATTATCACATATGCATACCCGTACACACACACACACATTCACTGATGAATAACCATTTGGCATTCCCTGACAAGAGCGCATGATAGAAAGTTTCTTCAATGAATAAATTTTATGGAGTAAATCAATTACAGTAATTGATTACACATTACATGGGTGTGTGTGTGTATATATGTATTTGATTGAATTGGAGGTGAATTACTGACAGAAAAGACAATATCACAATCATTTTTTGATGTATGATGACAACACATGAGATTCATTATGCATGGAGAAGAACAGAAATTAAAATTAGGTGTTTAACCACAGAATGTTTTTTTTTCTCTTCAAATAACTAGATAAATGACAATATTATATTGTACTTCAAAGTTTGTGAAGTTATAACGTAGGTGTTAAGTTCTTTGAATTTCAGTTACCAAGTCATGGGTTCGAATCCCACGCATATAGCTTTAATTTTGCCAGTCAAGTAGTATTACTAATTCTCACACAATCAGTTGTAATGAGTATGGCACCTTGCATAAGTGTGCATAATCGGTCCACATTCCCATATTACACCACTAAATCAATTTGGCACAGCCAACGAATTACTATAGTAAGTAATATCATTGACATTTAGAAAAAGGTTGAACATAAAGTCAGTTGTTTCGAAAGGATTGAATTCATGGTAAGGAGTATAATTTGATAACGAAACTGAAAATCTGAGAGACAACAAAGAATAAATTTGTGTGTGGCGATGCATTTATTTATTTATTTTATTTTAACACATAGATATCTGTACAAGGAGGCACCAAATACATATGCGCCACACAGATCTCATTGGATATGTGTGAGGGCTGTGATACTGCACGGGTGTCCAAACCGAAGCAGGTGGTTTTCTTAGGGGGCCACGCCCCGAGTCTTCAACCTGAAGATCTGATCTACAAGGCAGTGGAGCATCGTGAGGAGATGCAGTCCCATGGTAGCCGGTGACCAACGATTGGTCCATACGCCATTTGTTCCCTGAGGATACTGGAGCCCATGTGCACCATTGGTTTTGGATCCGGTTAAAGCGCCGGACATTCACTTTTCGTTCTCTCATTTTCGAAAACAACACCCATGGCACGAGAAGGCAGTGAGTAGGACTTCCGTGGCAGAGGCTATATACGCGTGGCCATGTGAGAGCATTTGGAGAGGGAGAGCGGACTCTCCCCACCCTCTGCCGTACCAGGGCATTTGGGAGCGATGCAGCTACCTGGCGTCTCCCATCGCTGATCACGATTATCGTACGAATCTCATCATATAGCTTGAACCAACCAAAATACCTCAAACCAACAGCATATAACTTCCTTGACTTTATACTTCAGCTTTTACCTAGTTTTGTTCCAACATACACTTACACTACCGAGTATTTCTTGTCAAAATGGAAGGTGTTTGTGCATACACAACTTATTTTATAGTTACTTTATTTAACTAAGATTCTCTGTTTCATCAACCATCTTTATTACGCAAAAAAGTCAGCATTACTTGCACAGTTATTCGATAATACAAGAGATCTTTGTCTTCCAATTTTAAAAATTGCATCTCTCAACTTTAAGGTCAAATTAAGTAGACTACTGTTTAGTTTACTCACTCTTTGACTGACTGGTTTTTGCGCACACAGAATGTGCTTCAAAGCAGTTCGCTGATTGAGTTACCTTTTTGTTTGATGAACGAAATCTCATAGAACTGACTAACAACAAGTAGTTTGTGTAAGTATTAAAGAAAGTAACACAAGATTAGATTTATCGTCGAACCAATTACATGTAAGATAACAGGTGTCATATTTTTGGCGCAAAATTCACTCATTCATTTGAATAAATAGAGTTTCACTGTTCACAATTGATTGATCGCTGAGTGGTGATCAATGTCATATGTGTCAAATCCTTATTAGTGCAGATTGAATGCTATCGACCAAGTCACAATGTGGCCACTAGTCTAGGTGACTCGACATTGCGCGCACTATGTTGAGATAAGATGGTGGTTGGAGGTAGTCAACAGGAAATCCTGGACCCGGGTTTCGTGCTATTTGACACTCGTCAACAAGGTGTACCTATAATCTTGGGGGAATTGGTGCTCCCTGATGGATTCCATCCCGTGTCACCCAGCTTCACAGTCAGAGACGTTACCACTGAGCTTGAAAGAAATCTTTCACAAAGAGAATCCATAGTCGATAACCTACCACCGGAAATCAAATCTCAATTTATTCTTAAAATACATCAAATTATTTCATCGATTTTCTTCCGTTTCTTTTTTTTTTAAAAAGGTATGTTAAAAGTTTACAGCGGAAAATGTTTACTGTTTTTTTTAGACAAGTTTCTATAAATTTAATGATAAATTTGGAGTTTCCATAGCAACTTAATTAGTGTACGTCATTTACATAAAACTAAGTAACTAATTTAAAATATATTTCATTAGGACTAATTAATTATGATTGAGTTAGATTTAATCATAGAAATGTATATTGGCGGTTAGTTTAATCATTTGTGATACATCTTTTTTTCTCTGTTCAGTTATACAAATACAATCCAATAATAGTAGTATAGGATATGGTTGAAAAGTTAAATCACAATCATATTGGCCGTTATTTTGTATTTATAACCTTGAATAGCTTAGTTCAAGATGTGAGTATTCAGTATTGAAAGTGCTTGAAGTTGGTTGTGTGTGTGTGTGTGTGTGTTAATTCACATAAGTTCTTGATTTTCACATACTTATGTAGTCGGTTGACTTATGAAAACCTAAATGAAAAACAAGTCGTTGAGAACCACTTAAGTGTGTTTCTTTCCTTGCGTAAACATCACACTCCTAATTGTATAGATGTCTATTCAGAAGCCCCCGTTATACCCGTTTCGTCTAACATTGTATTCGATTCAAGAAATAACGCAATATTGGTGAATATAGTGAAATACATCCTGGAACGCATCCCAAACCAAGAAGAATTTGTTTAACAAAGTCGTTTAAACCGGTCACCTATATCCACCGGCACATGCCTGAAAACGGAACAATGATCAGTAGTACTGTATATTTTTCTCTAAAACTTGTGAAAATATTACCAATGTAAATGAACAGTCCATAGAATTGCATGTCTCTATATTTACTGGTATTACGTTATTTCTTGAGTCGAATTTAATGTTAAACGGGATGGGTATAACGGGGGCTTCTGAATAAACATTTATACAATTAAGAGTCTGATGTTTACGCAAGGAAAGAAACACACTTAGGTAGTTCTCAACGACTTGTTTTTCATTTAGGTTTTCATAAGTCAACCGACTACATTACTTACCTACGCCTTTTACTCCTAATGGAGCATAGACCGCCGACAAGTATTCTCCAACTCACTCTGTCCTGGGCCTTTCTCTGCAGTTCTAACCAATTTTTGTTCATTTTCCTCACGTCTGTTTCCATTTCTCGGCGTAATGTGTTCTTTGATCTTCCTTTGGCCGTGGGGATTCCATGTGAGGGCTTGCCTTGTGATGCAGTTGGATGCTTTCCTCAATATGTGTGCTATCCACTTTCAGCGCTTCCTGATTTCTTCCTCCACTGGGATTTTATTTGTTCTCTCCCATAGTAGGTTGTTGTTGATAGTGTCTGGCCAATGGATCCGAAATATTTTGCGTAGACAATTGTTAATAAACACTTGTATCTTTTGGATGATTGCTTTCGTAGTTCTCCAAGTTATCGCCTCATACAGTAAAACTGTCTTGACATTTGTATTGAAAATCCTGACCTTGGTGTTGGTTGACAATTGTGTTCAGTTCCAGATGTTCTTCACTTGTATATATGGTGCTCTTGGTTTGCCGATCCGCGCCTTCACATCTGTATCAGATCCACTGTATTCATCAATGATTCTGCCCAGATATGTAAAAGTTTTTACATGTTACAAAGCTTCTCCGTCAAGTGTGATTTGATTGTTGCATGTTGTGTTGTATCGGAGAATCTTGCTTTTCCTTTTGTATATGTTGAGACTTACTGCTGCTGAGTCTACTGATACAAATATCCATAGTACCTGTGCTGAAAAACAATGTAAAAATCACAAAGCATTTATCTTAAACTACCTCTTAGGGGAATTTTAAGGGCGACATTGAGATTAGCAAAACAAAGATTGACTATTAGCATGCAGTTTTTGTGTAACAAAAGCCCTAATATACAGATTATTGTTAAAATTTTTGAGAATTAGGAGTTTTAACATCATTCTGAGAGCTAAATATCTATAATTTAGTCTTTAGTTCAGTTTACGCCCTAATTACTAGTTCAATATCTTTTAAAACCTAGTTACTAACCCTAAAGCTCCTCAACTCTGGTTTTTTTTTTCTATACTCCTAACCCTGATTTATTGACCTTAACACTTCATTTCACATGTGAACAATTATCCAATCTTTTTAAAATATGAAATATACTGAACAACAAGCTATCCTCACTATGGCGGTTCACGTCTAAACAGATGATACTTTGTGAACTAGGGGAGCATGCATAGTAGCGTGAGAGTGGGTACTGGAAAAGAGTAGAATAAAAGAAATGATGAATCGACAACTCGACCAGCGCACACAATGCACTCATATTTAATATGGAAAATAATAGACAACAATCAGAAATAAGCCAAGTCTCAAATTAAGACAATCTTGGAATTGAAACTAGAAGCAGATAGTCTATCTTGCTCACACGTAACAGCGTTCTTAATTCTCCTATCGTCTAGCTTAATTTGGATTGATTCCCCAGGGCCGTCGATATAATGTAGTTTCACCTTTAATCATGATTGTTTAATCAAATCAAACCTCTTACTATAGTCAATTTAAGTGTCTCTGTGAATTTGTCATAGAGTGATGTATTTTTCTTTTTCTTTGAATTATCCATTACTTTTTACATTCATTATATAGATGGTTGAATTTTGTCAGAGAATTTATTCATCATTTATTCTGTTTACCGGATCCATCTTCACTTATTAATAATACATTGAATTCTGATACAAGCCTCGTTACTATTGCAAATGAAGCGTATACACGATGTTTAAGACCTTTTCATTCATGGTCTGTACGAGGTATGGCTATGGTAAGTAGTAATTTGATGTTTACATTTGAATAAACAATAGAATTATCTATTTTATTCATATTAATTAAATATGATGTGAAATGAAACTGGTGAAGGTCTCTGTGAACTTGGTTACCTGTATAGTTAGTTGAATTGAAGTTAATCGTGGAGTGATAGTCACTCAGTCAGTAACAACGTGGGACTTCGTACATACGTACATCAGTTCGAGTTGTCATACCACATTAGCACAGAGATGCATTTGTCAATTCAAATCCCGATGTGGTAAGAGTAGTAAGAGTATAAGCAGTAATCGGAAAGATTAGAGCTTGAAGATGTTATTCAACGAGTGTAATGCAGTGAAATAAATTTATAAAAAGAGAAAAAAAGAAGGGACATGAAAAATTCAGAAGATTAGAATTTGGGGGAACACAAAGAGTAGATGCACTTGTGCCATTGCGAACGATTTTGAGCCATGTCATTCAAGGTCTCTAACCATCGGTTGCTATCGTCTCGCGGACCCCAACCAGGTGGTCTACACCTACCAACGTGAGTTAGTCCACTTGTCAATAACTTCATGGATTTGTGCCATGTTGTGGTCTGGCCGCCCTTAGCTTTCTTCCAACCTACTCCTACACCATAAAATATCGGTGGTTGAGAATACGTAACACGTGTCCCAGTCATCTCAACTGGTGAAGTTTCACTACTTCAATTGATTTGCCATCGTTACGTAGTACCCGTTTCCTAACAACTTCATTACTTATTCGGTGGTCCCAAGATATACGAGCAGTGCTTTGAAGACACCTATGATCGAACACTAGTAACCTACGAATATCTCGCTTACACCATAAATGACGGAAGTTGGCAAAGGCTAGTCGAGCCTTCTGTATCCGTGCTCAAATTTCGTCAGACACCAGACCACAAAGGCTGATGAGACTTCCTAGATAATTGAAGCGGTCGACACGCTCAACTATTTCACTCCCTATCATTAGTACAGGTATCGATGCAACCCAATCCTGAAGCAACATTTTACATTTCGAGGGAGAGAATCGCATCTCGAACATGCCTGCATTGTTGTGATAAGTTAGTGATAAAAGTTCTTAGCTTTCAATAAATAGATTGCAGTCTTCAAAATCGTTCCATACACTTTGGTTTGGACACCCGACTAACCATATCACTAATTTCTTCAAATACAAAGTTATAAACTTACATACTTGGATTAGAGTTACTCAATATGTAAGTGAGTTGCATGAATGTTTTTTAGATGATTGAATACAACGAAAAATTCTGGATGTATTTCTCGTGCTGAATAATACTCTTAGTCATACATTTCAGCTTAAATGATCAAATTTAGTCACTAATTGGACAAGACAAACATAACATTGTTCAGTACTCAGTATATGAATCGATTGGAAACCGGGAAGCATTGGTCAGCTATTTTGCCCTTAGTATGAGACTTTAGCAGTATGTAATAAGTAACCTCATCAGAGATAGAAACCAATAGTTTTAGGACTAATAGACAGGATAATCTCTACACCACTGATTTAGGTTCAATGGTTTACATATCTAACTTCAATCAATTTAGAATATTGTTCAACTATCATTCATTCTAATCATTGGTATTTGTATAATACTCGACATGGTTAAACTTCACTGTTAATGACCTCTTTCTAGAACCTCGTGAATCACCTTTCGAACTCAGTTACTTATGTGCACATGATTAATATTGCTAATGTGGGTTTATCGAGATTGTTGAATTCCTCAGTTTACATTTCACTAACAAATGATTGTCAATTTGATTTAATATTATGTTTTATCATCACTGGTGTTCGATAATTCTAAACATAATATTTATCTTGTCATTTAAACCGTTGTGCACAAGAGTTGCCGGTAACTCTATCACTAAACTGTCTTTTCACATGGCCACGCGTATATAGCCTCTGCCACGGAAGTCCTACTCACTGCCTTCTCGCACCACGGGTGTTGTTTACGAAAATGAGAGGATGAAAAGCGAATATCCGGCAGGGGCTTTAACCGGATTCCAAATCAATGGTGCACATGGGCTGGCTCCAGTATCCTGAAGGAACAAATAGTGTATGAATCAATTGTTGTTCACCGGCTACCATGGAACTGTATCTCTTTACGGTGCTCCACTGCCTTATGGTTTAGACGTTCAGGTCGAAGTCTCTGGGTGTGGCTCCCTAAGTAAACCACCTACTTCGGACTGGGCAGCCGGACAGTATCGTAGCCCTCACACATATCAAATGAGATCTGTGTGGTGCATATACATTTGGTGCCTCTTTGTAACAATATTTATGTGTTAAAATAAATAAATAAATAAAAATAAAATAAACTGTCTACATTCTTCTTACTTAAACTTCATATTTCCATGATTTTTATAACTTAGTATAGCACAAATAGTGACATGAATTTTGAGGTGTGTTTATTTAATCGTCGCTCGCTACAAGACCTGAAAAAAGCTATGAGTTCCGAACCCCTATGGATGCGTGTTGTTTGGGAGTAGTCCCGTACTAGGACAGGACATCTGTCTAATGCTTCCTGATTTTTATTGGTTGTCTAAGATCAGTCTGTAACATAGACCAAATATCAATGGATTTCTTTTATGTTTGTTATAATGATTTTCTCTTGCAAAATTCTTTTCATTCTGTTCTATTTTTCTTTAGGTTATTATGCAATCACTTCCTTCACGTTTATACTTATTTGAATTATTATTAATGGATAATCCAGAAACAATATCATCGTCAATAACTTCACCGATTGGATTAACTCCTGGGTCTTTCAATGAAACTAAATTATTATTAATACGTTATCCAGAGGCATATATTCAATTAAAATCAGATGCTACACGTTATTCAGAAGCATTAGGTCGTTTCTTAACCCTAATCGAAGGTCTTTTAGCCAGTTTAGATTTAAATCGTATATTCACCGGATCGGAAAGTTATTAATATTATATATATATATATATATATATATATATATATATATATATATATATATATATATATATATATATAGAGAGAGAGAGAGAGAGAGAGAGAGAGAGTAAGCGAGAGGGTAGGAGGAAGGTAGGGAGTGTTTCGTAACTTTATCTTCTTTAATCCTCATCATATCAGTGTAATTTTGTTGTTTACATTGAACACATTCCTTATTTTGTTTTTATATGTTATGGCTGTTTCTAATATCAATAATAAACCCATAAACTAACTATTCATTTAAATTTATTTTTTTATGTATAGTCTCATTTTTTTTATTTTCTTGTTTATATGTGTTGTCTTTCTCTCTGTTTGTATGTTTGTTTTTTCTTTTGTTTTTCTTGTGCTTTTTACTCGATGAATTATTTATTGCTTATTCCCTTGACATTCATAAGAATATTTAAACTACAGATTGAAGGGGTAAGTGATGCAATCAATCAATCACTTCATGTTTTCTTTGTGTTCGTGTGTGTATACTGGAGAAAGAGAGGGGGAGATGGGGAGGGGTAATTTCCACCCTGCTTCCTATTTAATATGCTTTAGTTACCAACATTTTCCACCTACTCATACACACACACATACATACGTAATTATTGTCATTGTCATGATATAATATATTCGATGCAAAAATTGTTGCGTAAGAGTTTATTCTCTCTGTTATGTCAATGAAATTTTATGTATTTTTTATTTACTTTATCAATTATATGCAGATTTTATGTACACAAATTTATGTGTATTCACCAGCTTATTTATAATTAATTTATCAGTCATGATGATATAGTCCTTTTTGTAATGCTAATTGAATGATATCCACCAAGTTACAATGTGACTATTAGTCTAAATGACTTGACATCTTATGAAACATGTTTTATAACTTGTGACCTTGTGCCCTATTAATATATAACGTAATAATACCTCTAATTAGAGAACAGTGACATATTGACCGAACCAATGATGCATAAAACAAGCACAAGCAGTCTAAAGTCCTTATTGACCCTTCTTTCTGCCAAACTCCTACCACCTGTTAGAGTCCAAAACACCAATCTCAGTCTCTGCGATATGAATCGTGTATTTCAAACATACTGGGTTTATGTACAAACCAAACAGACCACTGATAAGTCTTGCTAATTGAACATTATATTCGGTTCCTAAGCTATTCTCGTAACCCTCAAGCTAGAAATACACAGCGACCTGAACACGGGAGAAAAGGCGCAAAATATGCGAGAAGTACTTTACTTCAAAAGTTCGTTCTTGTACAAAAAATACAGGGTTTTCCCCAAAATTCTAGAATTCTACTAAACATAATAGCAGTATGAATAATCATCCAATCAGAAACTATACATGTGACTTTTCACTTTCTTGATGTTTCTGGCTAAACTTCTAGTGAGCGCTGATTGGATAAAATACTTCTTAGTTTTCCCTGAACCCTTCTTGTCTTTTGCGAAAAGTTTTCTGGATCACCCCAACAACCACATTACACCACAAAATAGAAAATACACATTTATACAAGATCCTGCCAACGGTATTTATTTATTTTATTTGAACACATAAATATTGGTACAGGGGGGCACCAGATATATATGCGTCACACAAAACAATGAGAATTTGAGGAGAAGAAAAAATAAAGGTAAGGAGCGTAAAAAAGGAACAATAACGACTAGATTAGTGTAAAGTAGTGTAATAATAATAATGGTGGACCCGAAATTTACAATCAGAAGAAATCTTTCAGTTAAGGAATATACAACCACTTTTTATGAAGAAAGTTACAGCAGGATCGCCACTGGCTTCTATTCTGAGCCATATCTGACAACGTCTCTAGCCACTGTGTTACACCATCTCTCGGACACCAGCCAGGGAGTCGTGAAGGACCATCACAAGCCAGCTCTTTGCAGCTTTCTTTCATACCACGACACCATGTCATATACTACTGACAACCTCTCCGCTTTTTCTAACCAGTCCCAGAGTCGGCAAATAATGCACGACGTGGAATTCTCTGGGACGACATTCGTAGAACATGTCCAAGCCATCGAAGTCGGTGTTTCAAGATAGTGACACCAATTGCATTATCGTCTCTGTGCCCGAACACACGATGCCGAACCTCTGTATTACTAACATGGTGTTGCCACTGAATGTCAGCAATCCTTCGAAGACAGCGATGATCGAACACAGTGAGTCGTCTAACATCCTCAACTCGGAGAGTCCAGGTTTCACAAGCATAGAGCAAAACTGCTCTCACCGTCGCGTTGTAGATCCGACCTTTTACAGCCAGACTAACATCACGAAGTCGCTAAAGATGGCCCAGATTGGCATAAGCCGCTCTGGCTTTCACTATACGTGCATTGATCTCATCACTCACACCAACACCAGCACTTATGCAGCTACCTAGATATACGAACTTCTCGACTACTTCTATCTGCTCACCATCCAGAGTGAGTACAGGATTAGAATCATGCCAGTCTTGTAGAAGTACTTTGCACTTCGAGGGTGCAAAGCACATACCATACCTACGGACATTGATTGCCAACTGATTAAGTGAGGATCGTATAGCTTGGGCATTCTCGCACAGTAAGACAATATCATCCGCATACTCAAGGTCGAGAAGTCTTTCTCCAGGCAACAGATCCACACCACCATTACTTACATCCATCAGAGCTGTTTCCAGAATGTCATCGATGGCAAAGTTGAAGAGGAATGGTGAGATTGGGCAACCCTGCCTAACCCCACTGCTCGAATGGAATAATGGAGAAAGGTGGTTGTATGCCCTCACTCTGCCTGACGTGTTTGTGTATAGGGCTTTTAGGATGTTAACAAACTTCTCAGGCACACCCTTCTTCAATAGACAATCCCAGAGAACAGTTCTGTCCAACGAATCGAAGGCAGCCCTGATATCAAGAAACACTACGATTGTTGGCCTTTGATAAGTATGGCGGTGTTCTAACATTTGGTGGAGGGTGAAGATATGATCAATACATCCTCGACCAGAAACATACTAGTGCGCTGTCATGAATTATTGACATACCTTAAACCTGACTGTGATAACTTCTAGCCTAGAGTTTATTCTATCGGTCTTAAACAAACCAGAATCTAACATGCATATGCATTCATTCATCTTGTCACATCATTTTGGCTCAACTCAATGAAATTATCGAGACGCGTGTTAGAGTAGTGAGATTGGCAACAGTATTGTGCATAGACAATGTGTCTTGGGAAAAAGTGAATTTGTGCGATAAAACCTTTGAATCAAATAACAGAATGACATATTTCTCATTCATGTTATAATCCCGACTAATTCAAAAAACGGTCTTACAAGAAAAATTAATTGGTAAACAAACAAAGAAGGCACGTTCTTGTGGTAAATAGTCACAAAAACTTTGAAGCAAGATAAAATTATAGTCTACTAGAAGATTGATTACAAACGAATAATGGTTAAAGTTATACCTTAGGAAGAAGATTTCCTTTAATCTTTTCCCAAGAAAATGAATATTAACTTTTTAGAAAAATAATGACAAAAAGCGGTTTCCTGAAAGGATTAAGTGTCATTATCAGTTATACCTTTGTAGTGACCTACTTTTGTCAACAGAACGCGATTGGTTCGATGAAAACAATTATTACTATAACCAATTGTACCAGTGATTGTTTTGCTGTGCTCGTTTGTTTAATTATGCTAATGACAGCCATTACACTTACTCTCCCGTTGACTTTGATCTCGGTTACGCTCAGTAACCACGCTTGTACTCCTTTGGCACGATCTCGGTATTCTTTCGATACCACGAGATTGCCAGCAAATATATCTCGACTACAGCCGTCATCTGTCTTCTGATTTTTGGCCTACGGGAATCTTATTGGTTTGTTGGCACGTAGTCTTGTAGCGGTGTTCATAGTCAAGCTCAACTCGACACAATTCTACAATTGGTGAGCCAAATCTGGTAACACGCATCAACCTCTGGTCAAATCTTCCAAAGAAGTCAATCCGGTGAATCTATTGTTTATCTATCCACGTCTGTCGTATATTTTCATATTAATTTTTTGATATATAATATACTTGACATGACGGATAACGATAAGAATAGTATTAATATAATAGACTCCGATGTACGCGTACCGAATCCTCGGCACTTTTTATTTGCGTGACGATAAATTACACGCTTTATTCGAGAAATTCCCCAGAATAACTAAACCACTCTGGGAGATTTCATCGGTGACCAATCGTGTGGTACACCATATAGTCACCCGCGGACCACCAGTCACGGCAAGACCACGCCGACTGGCACCGGACAAATTAGCTTTCGCTAAACGTGAGTTTGACAATTTACTATCTACTGGTATTATTCGTCCTTCTCACAGTCCTTGGGCCTCTCCTTTACATATGGTGCGCAAAAAGGATGGGGTTAGTTGGAGACCATGCGGCGACTACCGAGCATTAAACGTAGTTACGCGCTTTGATAGCTACCCCATTCCCTACATACACGACATCACAGCATCGCTCATGGGCACGACTATCTTTTCTAAAATCGATCTGGTACGAGCATATTACCAGATCCCAGTCGCTCTTGAAGACATCGAAAAAACTGCTATCACGACTCCGTTCGGTCTGTTTGAGTTCCTACGAATGCCATTTGGATTACGGAATGCTGCTCAAACTTTCCAAAGGTTTATCGATAGCATAGTACGAGACTTGGATTTTGTTCACGTCTACATTGATGACCTGCTGATCGCATCATCAAATGTAGATGAACATTATCAACATCTTACACTATTATTCCAACGCCTCTCGGATAACGGAATAGTAGTCAACCCAGACAAATGTGAATTGGGTAAATCAGAAATAATATTTCTGGGTCACATCATCAGACAAGAGGGTATTATGCCTTGCGAGGACAAAGTTCGAGCAATCAAGGAGTACAACGTGCTGTCCTCAATCAAGGAACTGAAGGCTTTTCTCGGTTTGGTTAACTTCTACCGACGTTTCATCCCTCACGCGGCAGAACGGTTACGAC